GACAGAGACAGAGCAAACATGAACGGGGAGGGGCAGAGAGACACAGAATCGAGCAGGCTCCAGGCTCTGAGCCATCAGCCCAGAGCCCGACGCTGGGCTCGAACTCCCGGACGGATCATGAGATCGTGACCTGGCTGAAGTCGGACGCTTAACCGACTGGCGCCACCCAGGCCTCATTTTGTCTTTTTTCAAAACCATTGCACATCTTCCCTGTATTGTTAGGATTTGCTTTTGGATGGAGGTTCTTTTGACTATTACGTAACCCTCAGGTTGTCAGATTTCCTTTAAAAAAGCATGGTTGTGTTGATTATCACTAATAGTAATAATTGGAATGTCAAATAATTTCGTGTAGATGTGAGAAAAGTTATGAGTTTTCCTTTAACTTTTTATTTATTTTATTTTTTTTAATATGAAATTTATTGTCAAATTGGTTTCCATACAACGCCCAGTGCTCATCCCAACAAGTACCCTCTCCATGCCCGCCCATCACCCACCTCCCCACCCCCCATCTCAGCCCTCATGAGTTTGTTCTCAGTTTTAAGAGTCTCTTATGGTTTGTTTTCTCTCCCTCTCTTTTTTTTTTTTTTTTCTTTTTTCCCTCCCCATGGTCTTCTGTTAAGTTGGGATCACATAAGAGTGAACACATATGTATCTATCTGACCAGCCTTCTCTGTATGACTTATTTCATAGCATGACACTCTCAGTTCCATCCACGTTTCTACAAAGGCCATATTTCATTCTTTCTCATTCCTTTAACTTTTAAACAATTGAGCTTAAAGGAACGAAACATCACTGTCCCATCCTTTCTATCATCCAGTCTCCGGTTTTGCACTTGCCCACTGCCAGCATTGGGGTGAGTCCCACGCGCTTCTGAAAGGTCCTTGAGTGTGGTACTTCTGCCCTGGCATGGCTCATTTATAAACTATTCCTTTTTACTTTTGACAGGCAAAAATTCTTGTATTTTTTTATGTACACTGTATGTTTTATGTAAGCAAGGCCAGCGTGACAATGAGAGTTGATTGTGTTGTATTCCCCACGGCTCCAGAATATTTAGAAAGCCAGAGTCAGAAACCCGCATCTGCTCCACTCTCCCTGAGCAGCATTTGCTACCAGCCATCCTTCCTCCAAAGGTAGATTTGTGGAAATGTTGTATATGAAGAATGACCAACAAGTCCGTAAAGTATCTATTGTTCCCTCCACGGCATGAAGAAAAATAGGTTACTTTTCTGAAGGAATGCATAGCCCTCGTTTTCACTTCTCCACTTTGAGGAACTTTCTCTTGGTTTGATAAAGGATAGTGGTTGAAGTGATGGGTTTTCATATTGAGTCTGGAGGTTTCTGATTATTTGCCTTATAAAATCTTTTTTGAGGGAAGCCTGGGTGGCTGGTCGGTTAAGCGGTCCGACTTCAGCCAGGTCTTAGTCACGATCATGGTCCGTGGAGTTCGAGCCCCAGCGTCAGGCTCAATGATAGCTCAGAGCCGGAGCCTGGAGCCCAAACCCTGTTCCGATTCTGTCTCTCAGCCTCCCTCCTCTCTGCCCTCCCCTTCCCGTTCATGCTCGAGGCTCTGTCTCTCCTCTGTCCAAAAATAAATAGTTGAAAAAAAAATTTAAAAAAAAAAAAAAAAAAAAAAATCTTTTGAGTGTATGAATCGGGTAAGAGTTCTTATTTGATTTATGCTTTTTTTTGAATGTGGGGTCTGAATTCCTTTTTTGGTATTAGCTTAGGTTATGTATATTGTTAGTGCAGGCAGAGTATGAAAGAGTTTTTCTTATGTCAGTTTTCCAGAACTCAAATTGAATTGTAACTTAGAGAAATTAAATATTAAGCCCTTCCTTATGTGTTCAAGTGTTGAAATTTTTAGAAATGTTTCAAAATGAGGTATCGGGGGGCACCTAGGTGGCTTAGTCGGTTAAGCAGCAGACTCTTGATTTCGGCTTGGGTCACGATCTCGTCTGTGAGATTGAGCCCATTTGGGGATCTGCTCTGATAGCATGGAGCCTGCTTGAGATTCTCTCTCCCTACCTCCCCACTTTGAAAGACACGCCTTCATTTCTCTACTCTCTCTCTATCCAAAATAAATAAACATTTTTTAAAAGATCCAAAAATAAATAAACGTTGAAAAAAAAATTTAAAAGAAAAGAAAAAGACAAAATGGTAAGAAATGGCAAGGCTCCTAGAAGGTGAAAGCGTGTAAGGCCAGGAAGCGTCCAGCCCGGCAGTTAGAGTCTTTAAAGTAAAGGTATGAAAAAGGAAAAAGCAGGACTTCTGCTCCTCACCCCTGGGCTCCCAATTTCCATACTCATCCTTCTCCTTCTTTACCAACTTGAAAATCTTAGGAATTTAAAACTGCCAGGACCCCAGGGACCCACCAGCCCCAGGCTCCTCCATAAGAACAGCACTATCCCTTTGAATGTGCGGGTGCGAGATTCCACTCAGTAGAACAGAACATCATCCTGGACTGTCAACTGTACCCTACTTTAGGGGCTAGGTTTTGAAATTTTTCCATAAAGGCGATTTTAGAACATAATATAAAATAGCAACATATATTATGAAGCAACATGCAAAATTCCCGCGAACTAAAAAAAATAATAAATACGGACCCCGCTATTTCCCAAAGACAGACATTTAGTATCATGCCACAGGCATACTTTGGTGGGATAATTTAGGAAATGCCATTCTTGACATAGTCCTCATTTTACAAGAGAAGAAACTGAGGTCACACAGAGGAGGCAACAGAGGCAGGGGCAGAGGCCACATCTTCTGACTCGGAGCTACGCCAAGGCTTTAACAGAGCCTCATTCCAACACTCACCTTTAAGGAAAATGGTTGTGCAAAATCCACTCTGACACATCCGTAGTTTTTTCGTAACATTCTGATAACGCCTCTAGCTACGCTCCAAAGGCTCTCGTTCTTCTTAGGTTTTCCCTAAATTCCAATTTTCAAAAGAATAGTGTGGATAAGAGATAAAGCTAACAGGTATTCTGCTATACAAAAACTACCAGTTATTTTTATGGAAACTGGAGGTTTGTATTGAAAAGGACAACACTGAATAAAGAGGGAAAGTACGTATTCATTGACTGAGACCTGTCAGAAAATGGTCAGCATGCAAGATGCTATAAGATGTAATCCTTTCATTAGGGGAGGCAGTTTGGTCAACGAAAAACAGAACACTTAACGCTAATTCATTTAGTACACTTCACACCATTCACAAAAACACCACTACAAACTATGGTGCTGGCACAAAAATAAAAACATAGATCAATGGAACAGAGTACAAAGTCCAGAAATAAACCCACAATTATATGGTCAATTAATCTTTGACAAAGGAGGAAAGAATATGCAATAGGAAAAAGACAGCCTCTTCAACAAACGGCGTTGGGAAAACTGGACAGCAGCAAGCAAAGAATGAAAAACGGACCACATTCTTTCACCACACACAAAAATAAACTTGAAATTGATTAAAGACCTAAATGTGAGACCTGAAACCATAAAAATCCCTGAAGAGAGCACAAGTAGTAATTTCTCTGACATCAGCCATAGCAACATTTTTCTAGATAGGTCTCCTGAGGCGAGGACAAAAAAGCAAAAATAAACTATTGGGAGAAACATTTAACAAAACTAAAAGACGTCCTACTGAATGGGAGAAGATATTTGCGAACAAAATATGTGAAAAAGGTTAGTATTAAAATATACAAAGAAGTGATACAACTTAACACCAGAAAAAACAAATAATCCAATTAAAAAATGGGCAGAAGACATGAACAGAGAAGTCTCCAAAGAAGACTTACAGATGGCCAATACATGAAAAAATGCTGAACATCACTCATCATCAGGGAAATGCAAATCAAAACTACAATGAGATATCACCTCACATCTGTCAGAATGGCTAAAATCAAAAACACAAGAAATAACAAGTGTTGGCAACGATGTGGAGAAAAAGAATCCCTCTCGTGCACTGCTGGTGGGAATGCAAACTGGTGCAGCCACTGTGGCAAACGGTATGGAGGTTCCTCAAAAAGTCAAAAACAGAACTACCCTATGATCCAGGAATCGCACTACTGGGTATTTACCCAAAAATCAAAAAAAAAAAAAAAAAAAAAAAAAAAAAAAAAAAAAAAAAGGCTTTAAAGGGATACACGCACCCCTATTTTATTGCAGTATTTACAACAGCGAAATTATGGAAGGAGCCCAAGTGTCCATTGACAGATGAATGGATACAGATGTGGTGCATACATACACAATGGAATATTACTCGGCCACAAAAAGTATGAAATCTTGCCATTTGCGGCGACAGAGAGAGAACTAGAGAGTATAATGCTGAGCAAAATAAACCCACTCAGAGAAACACAAATACCATATGATTTCACTTATATGTGGAATTCAAGAAACAAAACAAATAGCAAAGGAAAAGAGAGAGAAACCAAGAAACAGACTCAAAACTATAGAGAACAAACAGATGGATACCAGAGGGGGTAACCTGGTAACCTGGGGGTGTAGGAAACAGGTGAAGGGGGTGAAGACTGCACTTGCAATGAGCACTGAGTAATGTAGAGAATTGTTGAGTCACTATCTTGTACACCTGAAACTAACATAACACTGTGTAGCTGTACTGGAACTAAAATTTAAAGCTTAAAAAAGAAAAAAAAAATACCACTGCAAATCAACGAAAGATAAAACTGGTGCAACAGGAAGGAGAACGGTTTGCAGTTCTGAGAAAAATAAGATGTCAAAGAAGCCACTTAATATGAAATCTGATGATGACCAGCGTCCAAATATCTAACATTAGGCAACTGAACACCAAATCCAGCCCCACGGTGGCCTTTAACCCTATTATTCATTTAGTAACATTTCCTGAACATTAATTTACATAAGGCACAATGACAGGCATATAAGGGACACAGGACTCTGATATGGCCTCATGAGACAGGGTGAGTGGTGCACACCTTCAAGACAGACAAATATACACAAGGAGGGGTCTCCTAAGAGAAACTCAGGTAACAGTTCAGCTCATCACTTCATTCGTAAAGCCTCTAATTATCTAGCGTCCTTCAGCTTCTGGCATGCTTCCACACTAAACAAGAGCAAAACAAAATCTCTCTGGAACTCTCACAATGCAGGTAGGAATGGGAAGTTGGTAAGAGCACTCCCGAAAACTCAGTATCTACTAAAGCTGAACATATGTATACTTTATGACCCAACCATTTCCACTCCTAGGTACATACCTAACAAAATGCATACCTGTGTTCATCAAGAGAAATATACAAGATTGACCATAGTCAAAAAACTAGAAACCAAACTGTTTTCAACTGAATAAACCATAGTACACGCATACACTGGAATACTACATGACTATGAGAATGAACACACTCTAACTATATGCAGCATGGATGAATCCCACCAACACCTACTTGAGCAAGGAAAACCAGAAGACCACACACTACACAATTTCATTTAGGTAAGAGTCCAAAAATAGGCAAAACCAATCTATTCTGTAAGAAGTCAAGATAAACAGTTACCCTTGAGGGGACAGTGAAGAAAGGGGCACAAGGGGGGCTCCTAGGGGCTAATAATACTGTCCCTTGCTGTGCGTGATTCCTCGGGCATGTTCACTTTGGGATAGGATAATTCAAGCTACAGGCTTATGATCCGTGCATTCTTCTGCAACTTACTATACTCACTTCAATAAAAGTTTACTAAGAAGTTACTGCCACCTACCAAGTTAATTTATTCTAAATTGCTTTATCAACATGATCTCAGCATTTCGTCAGGCTGAACTTACAATTTATACACAAACTACAACCCCGGGGAAAACGACATATATATAACCCTCCAGGCAGAGATGGCAACATGGGGCCAAGTGTTCTCCCATTTCCCGATCCCAATCCCACGATCGAGGCCAACACTGAAGAATCTAGCCACACCACTCCCTCCGAGAGCAGGGAAGCGCCACATTAGCACTACCCATCAGGCGGGCACAAAAGATGAAAACTACTCACCATGCCCATTCTACATGTATCCTGTTTTAAACAGTACCAGAAACCCTCCTAATTCCAAAAGCACTTCTCTAAAAGCAAAAGACTTGAAAGTGAAGAAGACTTTTGGGTGGGCAATCCTCTTACCAGTTGTTCGCCATTGTAGTGACCTTCAATGATGCGATCATAGGAGATTCCAACAGGTATGATCAAGATGTCTGGGATGGTATTGGTAGACAGCGTATCAACCACAACTGACAAAAGTCCTGCCCGAGCACAGGAGGTTTTCCCACTCCTAGAGCGTGTGCCTTCCAGAAAAATCTCTAAGAATTGCTGCTGTCGAAGTAGTTCAACTATATGCTGGAACAGAAGGAGAATGTAAACATGAAATCAAGCCCGCTCCACTTAGAACAAGCTCAGCCAAGTTAAATCTTCCAACAAATGAAAACCTAGAACTTCACTACTGACAAAGTGTTTTATACTCATGTAAATAATAGCAAGTCAGCTCCTCCAAGCTCTATTTTGGTGATTACAAAAATAATCATCAAACCCATACCCAAACAATACCACTCAAATAATTACACAGACAACATTCTTTTTTTTTTTTTTTTTTAAATCTCAATCAAGTCACTTTTTCTTCTACTGTGGAATAACGACTATAACTGCTTTAAGGACACTGAGACAGCATACATACCCCGTGGAGCAAAGCTCTATAGAGAATATCCTTCCTCCCATCTGGTGTTTCATCTAGCCTTCGTCGGATGAAAAAGCCCCCAAGCTTATGGATCAAGGTACTAGATATTGAAGAATGCGTTAGTTATTTATATAGAAAAATATACGAATACTTAAATTCCAACTTACTTCACAACATACACCATATGAATATAAACCATGTGTCGTTTGAGCTGCTGATATTTTTCCACTTTCCATATTACTGATGTTTCAGTCGCTTACATCATTCATCAGCCTTCAGAACATCACTTTGTGTACTGAAGCCCTATTAATGTCTGTTCACAACCAAAAGAAGTCTGTACGATATCCCTGCAAAGGTGGTGTTACAGATTTTAAGAGGATTATGAAATACTGCTAAATTTTAAAACCCTGTCAAGGGTCTCAGGGCACCAACCATTAGACATCCTGAAATGTGGTTCTGGCACATGAACTACAAAATGAATATGAGGTTACAAAAGCTCCTATGGGGACATTTTTTCAAGAAAGTACTGCTTAGAGAGTATCTCTGTGAGCCCATGATAATTTTATCAAACCCAAACCAAGCATAACCAATTTTCCAAAACGTGAAACAAGAATGTGCTTCATGTACACTTACACAGGGATAAAGCGATTCTTTTCTCAATCCCTTGTTTCTTTCTACAACATTGATGGATTTTTATATTACGATGAAATTTTATAATATGCAAGTCAACCTTTCCAAACACAGAGCCTCTTCCTAATTCTTCTCTAATAGAGTGATATTAAAATAGCAATATCAACACATATTTCCAGTATCTTCTGTAGTCAGGACAAGGAGGCAACAGTAAGATGTCCCCAGAGCTAAATATCACTCTCTGAGAACAAGACTGCAGAGAAGTTCATAGAGAATGTGAGATGAGCCACCCACGGAACAACCCGCCCCAGAAAGTGACTTGTAAATGTATAGGTTGGCATGTAACAAAAGAAAGCTGCGAATCAACAGGTAAGGTCACTGACTGGCTGTCACGTATGAAGGAAAGACGAGCTAAGCAACGACTGGTATAGAGTTCATGAAAAGAAAAGTTGGATTATGTGAAATTATCAATTTTTAACATGCATTTCCATGGGATCCTTCCAGGAGCACTTCCAAGCTGAGAACCTGGAGGGAATGATTACAGGAGTTATTCTCATTGTAGGAAAGGCAAACTGTACAGGGCAGGGCCTCCTAGAGCCCGAAGGGAACACTCCTCTTGGCTCTAAATCTATGCCTGCCAACAACTTTCTGATGACACTCTTCCCCTCCAGTGGGCTTCATGCCCAGTGCGAAGCCCAACATGGGGCTTGAACTCACAACCCTAAGATCAAGACCTGAGCTGAGATCAAGAGTTGGACGCTTAACTGACTGAGCTGCCCAGACACCCCAACTTTCTGATGACTTTCTAATGCAACTTCCCAGGTTCCTCAATACTGGGAAGAGGTGCGCAGAAGAGTAAACAGATGTTCTAGTCCCTAGAGAAGCATGTCTGCCCCGTACGGGTATATCACATTGTATTAGAGCTATTTGTCTACATTCCCCAGTAGATTATGAGCAATTTGAAGGAAAGGACACAGCACTTCTTCACTCTTGTCTAAAGTATAGCTGAGTAAGAATCAGCTGACTGAATGAATGAATGGCTCCGCTCAACCATTCACATGAGTCTGGTTAGCCACAGAACTCTGAGCCCAGCAATTAGGAAGGAGCTCCTTGGACTGTGAGGCTGAGGAAAGGGAGAGGACTGCCACTTTGTGAGACCCTGTGTGCACAACCCACAAGCCCACTTCCCTTCCTGTTACTGTAAGTCCATCCTCCTCATACTCCCTACTGCTTGCTCAGAGCTGACCTCAGGGATGCTCTATGCTTTGACATTTGAGCCATCAATATCCCAAACCAACTAAACCTACTCCTTGTTCATTCCCCATTGGTGCTCAGCTCCACTATGTACCTAGTACCCTGGCGGTAAAGATCAAGGAGTGTCCCTCCCTCATCAACCCCTCTCCCACTCTGGACTAGCATTTGGTCTTATAAATTCACCTTACTAAATACTTTTCAAATCTATGCCCTCCTCATCAAGAGCACCACTACAAATTTTAATCTAAGCCTTCGTTATCTTTTGCCTGAACTCTTACAATACAGTCAGAATGGTTCTAACTCCCTCTAATCGAGAGTGACTTTTCAAAATGCAAATCTGACCACTTCTCAACTACAGGATACACTCTAAACTCTCGGCTTAAAAATTGTTCTGACCCAGCTCTCACTCCCTACGCAATGGCCACCTCTGGCCTCTGACCCTTCCCACCGTATCCTGCACTCTAACCCTAACCCTATTGAACTGTCTGCCGCTTCCTAACCGTACCACACACTTGAAACTTTCTGCATCTTCACATGCTATTTCCTCTGAACGGAACCCACCGCATCCTCTGAAAACTTCTAAAATACACCTTTTGCGTCATGCTGAAATCATTACATGTTTCTAGTGTTACTAAATTACGAGGTCAAAGTTAACAGGTGTGGTTCTTCTCACCTACTTTGTACCAACACCACCGTCCACCCCCACCCCCATCTTCCCTACTGCCAACCCTGATACAGTAATTTGCTATGTGGTCTAATTGCCTTTCAGCCATTTGATAAATATTGCCCATGAAGTTGAGGTATTCACAGTTCACCAAGCATTCCATACAGAACACAGGAAGAACGGTGATAGTCTTATAGCTTTTTTGTACTTTTCAACTTTTCCACAATAAATTTTTATAATGAAAGTAAAGCAGCTCATGTCATCTTTACAGTAACGTGGTTCAAACCATAAAAGGAAAAAAAAGAAAAATGTAAAATACAATCTTTTCCATACCTTACATTTCAAAACAAGCTGATCTTACCTGAAGATGGGAATGTTGAGATTGTTGCCGGAAGCGATGTATGGCGCCTTGATGTTATGGCAGAAGAGAATGAACGTGAGCAGCAGATAATCAATGTGTGATCTGTGAACTGGTAGAAACAGAAGTGGCAAATTCATCTAGTAAAAGAAAAAAATGCCAAAGTTCAAACTCAAACGCGAACTTGGATCACATTCTGCAACTTCGTATTTGGTCAGAATCACTCAAACACAGGCTGATCAATGACTCGTTCTTGAAAAACATTTTCCGGTAACATGAACGTCTTGCATTGTAATACCTCCGCGGCTGAAAACCACCAGAGCCACAATAAAAAGGAGCTGGGGAAGGAGAAGCACAATGGAGAGTTCAAGTGGACTCTCTCTGTCTTCTGAGAGGCAGCCCTGATTATGTTTAAAAAAAAAAAAAAAAAAGAAAAAAGGCAAAGGGTTGAGGGGCAAGCCCGGTTTGGCTTGAAATCACAGGCGATCATTTACCAGCCATGACTGGGAAATCTTAATCTGTCTGTGCTTTATATTTCCTCATTTATAAATAGGGATTATTCCACCTGCTCTTTGAGTTGTTGCAGAGCAACCCACCCAAGGAATCCTGCACAGCTGGCAGGTCCCCCTTCACCCACCTCTCAGCCCCTCACCAAATGCCACTGTGGTACATCTCTCAGGGGGGGCATCTGCTGAATGGGCAGGAATGCACACAGCACACAAAAGAACATTTCCATACAGAGGAGCTCTAACATCATCCACAAACATGGGGAAAATGGAATGACAGATCACAGAAACTCTTGCCTCAGTTGCAGCTTTAACCATCTCAAGTTGGCCTTTGTGAATTTGAATATTCCAAAAGAAGCTGTTGAACAGTTTGAGCAACACCCATCCCGTCAGTCTAAGGGGGAGGGGGGAGAGAAGAAAAGGAATTTAAATGCATATACATACATTTATATAGACGTTGACTTTTATCTATTCAAGTTTCTGAACCTACAACCTAAAAGTGCTTTCAAGTGACTTAGTGTCTGTATCTGCATCTGAACTTTTACATAGACTCATAGATACAGATTACTTATTACAGACTAAAATCTTCCATTTTTATTTATTACAGACTAAAATCTTCATTTCACTCAAACAGCAGACTTTACACATCAGAAGCAAATGATCAAATGAACATTTAGGTGAGCAGAATGCCATATAAAACCACTCCCTTTAAGATATGGGTGTGTGAACCCTGGCTCACAAGTCTAGAGAGAGGTCAGCAGTAATTCAGTGGCTGTTATTAGTTAACAAAGATTAAGGAACCTTGAAATCTACCACAGTGCTACTTCCCACATAATTTGAATACAAATATAAAAATAAAAAGGAGTTAGTTTTCCCATCAGATTATGTCCAATTTCTTTTGGACCAAAACCACTGTGCTAGGAAAGCCCAATGGTTCAGTCCCTGTTTGCTCAAAACAGCTCTCATTGAAAGCTTTTTGCTTTGCCTTTTAATACCTGATCATCGTTGGTGAGACAGTGGCAACCATTTCTTGAAGGATCCTTTTGGCTTTCTTTTTCACTTTATTGATGGCTTTTGACTGCTGCTGGGCAGAACCATCAGGATTTAATTCAGCAGCCACTTCTGCAATTGCCTCCTGTACTCTGAATTGAAAGCAGAAAGACAATGTAACTGTTTCTATGTGACATCCTGCATTCAGTATTTTCTAAATCATAGATATAAATCACAAAACAAAACTTATCTTCTCTTTAATATGTGATTAACACAATAAGCTCAAGTTAGATGTGTTTTGTTTGGCTGCCTACTGAATATTAGGAATATTATATTCCTGAATCAATGAATCCCTGAGGAATCTGGAAGGCAGATTTAAGAATTTAACTCAAATTCAATGGGTAACAACGACATCAATTGAAACGTTCCAGATATGCTGTGAGGGACACAAAGTTGCACTCTAGCAGAGGGGAGAGAAAGAAAGGTTATCCCTTTAGGCATATAGTTCAGAGGTATCCAAAGCTCACTGCCAAAGTAACATGAGATTTTTCTTTTGAAGATCTAATTTATTACTCATTTATACTGTGACTTTATTAGAACTATATGTTGGGGCGCCTGGGTGGCGCAGTCGGTTAAGCGTCCGACTTCAGCCAGGTCACGATCTCGCGGTCCGTGATTCGAGCCCCGCGTCAGGCTCTGGGCTGATGGCTCAGAGCCTGGAGCCTGTTTCCGATTCTGTGTCTCCCTCTCTCTCTGCCCCTCCCCCATTCATGCTCTGTCTCTCTCTGTCCCAAAAATAAATAAACGTTTAAAAAAAAAAAAAAAAAAAAAAAAAAAAGAACTATACGTAAAACTCTCTAGGAGGGATCAAAGAGGGGCATAGATATTTACAAGCGTTTTCCATTTTAAACCAGTAATGTAAGAAAGGCGCTGCTCAAGATTAAAACAACACACAACAATAAACAGTGAAGTTAAGAGAGAAGATTTAATCCAGTTTGGTAAATCTTCCACGTGACTTGGGGAAGAACATACGAGATTAAACCTCCTTAAATCACTTTTAATATTCTAGTTACTAGACAAAACACCTGGGTGGGATAAAACATACTTGGAGATTTTTACCTAGAAAATAGAATATATAGTAACCCAAAGGAGTTTCAAATAATTCCTTTTTCTCCCACTGTTGCTACTGATCTTAGACCAGCACGGAGCAAAGCTCCACATAGCCCCATAACTCATCAATACAAAAGACCAATTCCACAGGACACTGATGCCTTTAATACCTTTATTTCAATCTGGCCAGGAATGTTTTTACAAGTAATTGACAAGATAATTAAATCTCCATTATCAACTATTTACTCATTCATTCAATAAATACTTACTGAGTACCTACCATGGGCCACCACAGGTTCAGGTCTTCATAGCCACACTACAGGATCTGCATTTCTTTTATTTTTTTTAAATTTTTTTAATGTTTATTTATTTTTGAGACAGGGAGAAACAGAGCATGAACGGGGGAGGGTCAGAGAGAGGGAGAAACAGAATCTGAAGCAGGCTCCAGGCTCTGAGCTGTCAGCACAGAGCCCGATGCAGGGCTCGAACTCACAAACCGTGAGATCATGACCTGAGCCGAAGTCAGACGCTTAACCCACTGAGCCACCCAGGCGCCCCCAGATCTACATTTCTAAGCAGTCTTTTCAAACCACTGTAGTCTCTGGCTCCCCAAATCAAGGTAGATGTCCACCACAGGCCACACCAATGAGGCAGAGTAGAGACTGATCTTCATGCAAACTCCCATATTCTAATGCCTAAACTTGAGAATGACTTCTTTCCCTGTTCGATCTGATTTCAAGCCAGTCTCTGCTATTTTCTAAGCAAGTTCCTCTGAGAGCAAGGACAGAACCTTATTCTCTTAAAATTTCTAGTAATGATTTTCTAGTACAAGAATTTGTGCCTACATCCTCAAAAATTATTTGACAGAAATATCAAACATGCTTCTCTTTTGGTTATAAAATAGGAAACACAAGGGGCACCTGGGTGGCTCAGTCGGTTAAGCACCTGACTTCGGCTCAGGTCATGGTCTCATGGTTCATGAGTTTGAGCCCAGCATCGGGCTCTGTGCAGACAGCTCCGAGCCTGGAGCCTGCTTCCGATTCTGGGTCTCCGTCTCTCTCTGCCCCACCCCCACTTGCACTCTGTGTCTCTCTCTCTCTCTCTCAAAAATAAATAAACATTAAAAAAATTTTTTATGAAGTAGCAAGTTTAAAAAACAAGTAACAAATAAAACAGGAAAACACAAGGTCCCAAACATTTATTATTACAGAAAACAGAGAACTGGAAATATGTGCATCTCTGAATTCCAACTCTCCTTTCATATATTAGAAACCCATTCATTCAATCGTTAATGCATAAAACAAGACTGCTGTTCCCACATGGCACTGCTCACCAAAACCATCTCTTCTCCTGCCTTTCCTTGCTTTCCTTTGGAGTTTAATATCTGACATTTGGAAATGGAAACCCCTCCTGAGACAGAGTCCCAGAGTCCCAAGGTTAATAAAGGCAATACTGCCCTGCCCCACCTCCCTTCCCTGTCTCTTCCTTTTACAACAGCGTCCCCACCCTTACCTACTGCTGTTCAGGACATTTTCCGTCACGTTGGCGGCAAACATGCCTGTATGGACATCTCGCTCTTGAACAAAAAGCACATAAGAAAGACGTCTTGCAAGCCATCCTCGATGCCTGCAACGTGAAAGGGAAAAAAAAAAAAAAAAAAAAAAAAAAAAAAAAAAAAAAAAAAGACTTAGGAACACCTAAAATGAACTGCTTAAATTATACAGCTGTTTCCCTGATGTAGAAACAAAGCCTCATTTCATCTATTCCTGCTATCTGGTATTATCCTATAGCAAATTCTCCTTGGCAGTTCAAGATGATCCGTGGCAATTCCACTCACAATTTCTTTCATGTACTCTCAACTAAAATTTAAACTTGGAATTTGAGTACTAAAATGCCTGAATAGTGTACTCTGCAAATAATAAACCAAATCGGCTGTGGGCTATAAAGAGATAATTTGGAAGTCTTTTCCTACCATAAAGGGCTTTTTTGTTATTACAGTAATTCTTCTAAGATAATAGCTAACTCTCAAATTGAGTGGACAAGGCAAATTAGTCAAGGGAAGTCAAGGATAACTAAAGTATGGCCTGAACACCTATATACAGGGCTCATGAGGCCAGAAGTTTTGCCTTTTTCTTCCCCCACATTTGACATTTCTAAGGGATAGGACATATGCACACCAATGTTGGTGGCTATGTGTTATTTATATGGGGGCTTGGGGACAGAGAACTCAGAAAAAGGTTAGAAACCTTCATACGCAATATTTTGAAACCATGTGTAATGATTGTGTAATGCCTCATTATCATTTACCCCTTAAGGACATTCAAATGGCCAGATTTCAGATATAAATTCATGAACTCTGAAAAGCCTTCAGTTGAAGAAATTTGAGGAAGAACTATGGAATCAATCATTCCTTCATCTTTTTTGCTGACATTCTCTTTTTCTTCCTCCTTTCCTAGTTGTCTGCAAATTTGGTCCAATAGGGTAAGTATTTAATTCTAAATTCTTCCTTGAGTGAATACTTTCAGAACTGTTATTAGAATGTACAGTCTCAGGGGTGCCTGGGTGGCTCCGTCGGTTGAGCGTCTGACTTCGGCTCAGGTCATGATCTCGCGGTCTGTGGGTTTGAGCCCTGCTTCGGGCTCTGTGCTGACAGCTCAGAGCCTGGAGCCAGTTTCTGATTCTGTGTCTCCCTCTCTCTCTGACCCTCCCCCGTTCATGTTCTGTCTCTGTCTCAAAAAATAAACGTTAAAAAAAAAATTAAAAAAAAAAAAAAAAAGAATGCACAAAGTCCCAGTTCTTGATGAAATCCTTTTGTAATGGACTGAAAGCTCTGTGTGTGTGTGTGTGTGTGTGTGTGTGTGTATAAAAACGTCTACCCTTCACTTCATGTAACACACAGAGCAGCCAAACAGCCAGCTCAACCACACAGGCAGTTTATTACACCGAACGGTTTCATATCACCGAGTCATTATCACATTGAATGGTTTCATATCACTGAGTCAATATGGCATATGCTTTTTTTTTTCTTAACTGCCTCCAACTGAGGACAACAAATGAACCCTCTGACTTTATACATAAAATGTCTACTTACATAAACAAGAAGAGGCTCTCTATGAGATCCCTTTTCTTAGGATCTTAATCAAGTCAAAAAGGGGAAAAAAAAAACATCAGTGGCCCAGAATTTCTCCTCTCTCCTTTAAATGTAAGATAGAGACAGAAGGGTAGCATGGGAATGGGAAAAAATATGTCCCTTGATTTTAGTTCTATTAAAAAAAAAAAAAGGCATTTAATATATATGCAAGTATTGTCATTCTCAATTATGATCTCATCACCAAAATATGATTAGTAATTCCAGAAAGCCTTCAAATTTAACTATTTGACTTCTTAGATAAATTTTCACAGAATTTAAAGCATTTCTCATCACCTGAGCCTACTACTGACCTATCCCAGGCATTTACTCTTAGAATTATAAGGACTGGTAGCATTTTTGGCTGCCATTCTCTCCCGCCTCACAGACTTTCACACAATCTTCCCTCCCCCCTCCCTTATCCCCTAGCCTAGATTCACTAAAACAAAGCCTCTTTTCTCTCACTCAGATGCCCAACAGCCCATCCCCATGTGTCTGAAGTCTGGAAGAATTCTAAAAAACGTCTTAAGCTAATAATAAATTAAAGAGCATTTGCTCAATATAGGAAAATATCTTCTAAAACTCCATAGATCAGGCTGATTTCAATTTTTAAGTATAAAATAATAATAATTTGTAAGCCATTCAACCCTACCCTTTCCTCAGATAAATCTTTACCATGTTTTGTCACACTTCAGATATAAAATCAGTATACAGGGGCCCCTGGGTGGCTCGGTTGGTTGAGCATCCAACTCTCGATTTCAGCTTAGGTCATGGTCTCACGGTCCATGGGATCAAGCCCCTCGTCAGGCTTTGCCCTGGCAGCACACAGCCTGCTTGGGATTGATTCTCTCTCCCTCTCTCTGCCCCTCCCCCACTCACTCTCTCTCAAAATAAATGAATAAGCTTTAAAAATATATATATATACTGGGACGCCTGGGTGGCTTAGTTAAGCATTCGACTTCAGCTCAGGTCATGATCTCATAGTTCATGAGTTCAAGCCCCGTGTCGGACTCTGTGCTGACAGCTCAAAGCCTGGAGCCTGCTTTGGATTCTGTCTCCCTCTCTCTCTGCCCACCACCCCCCCCCCCCCACACACACACACCCTGCTCATACTCAGTCTCTTTCTCTCTCTTTCAAAAATAAATAAAACATTAAAAAAAAATTTTTTTTAAGAAAAATATATATACAAATGGGGCGCCTGGGTGGCTCAGTTGGTTGAGCGTCTGACTTTGGCTCAGGTCATGATCTCGTGGTTTGTGAGTTTGAGCCCCACATTGGGCTCTGTGCTGACAGCTCAGAGCCTAGAGCCTGCTTCGGCTTCTGTGTCTCCCTCTCCGTCTGCCCCTTCCCTGCTGGCACTCTGTCTTTCCATGTCTCTCAAAAAATGAAATAAAACATCAAAAAATTAAAATGTACACACACACACACACACAACAAAAAGAGAAAGCTATAGGTGATATCTACACCCTCATGAAATAGTTACCATATAATTACATAGCAGTAATAGTAACAGATCTCTCAGGTGGCTGTACTGCTTCCAATTTTTAGATAAAGCCTCTTGTGTCACAAGCTCAATTCTATTAACTCAAAAACATGAAGAGATTCATCTTAAGGTATAGGCACTGATTATTACAGTTCTTCTTTTGAGATGTATTAGAAACATAAGAAATTTCTTTTTACCTTGTGTGAGTTTCATTGATATAAATAACATTCCGCAAACCCAAAGATGGGATACTGGAGTTGAAAAATTTATCCTACATGAAACGAAATACACACAGACATAAATATACAATTGGATTTCTGGCAAAGAGCTCACATTACCACTTCTTGATAACTTTTATAACTCAAGTATGAAGTTTGGCATTGCAAAAATCTAAGTGATGAAGAAAAATTACATTTTATTGAGAAAAGTACTTTTTGGCCTTCAGAGAAGGTCACAAACTTGCAAAGGAAATTGTGCCTCCCTGTCCTGCCTCATTCCCCACCCTCAACCCAAAAGAGTTAAAGCTACAGAGAGCTTAAATCAACGACAGGAACACTGAAGATTTCAGTGTTTCCCACATGTAAAAATACCGTGCTAAGTACCATAGTTATCTTTAGATTACTAAATCTGGCAATAATGCTGACACAGTAATTATTATCCCCATTTTACAGACAGAAAAATTGAGACGGACAGGGGTTTTTAATATTCAAATCTACATCTTGCTCTAAATGTTTACTTCATTAGAAAACGTATGGCTGAAGGGGACTCTCTTTACAGGAAACCTTAAGGGATAATTCAGAGAGAGTTCTGCTCAAAAGAGAAAGTCTATAGCTTTATCAGTGTGGACAAAAAGGTAAGCTTTCCACAGATAAATGTTGGGAAAGCATAATGTACCTTCAATAAAAGATATAAAAATATTTAAGTGAATCTCTTTAGAGATCAGGAAAACGGTATCAGAGAAAGGGTAGCAAATATCAAAACAAAAATTATAAAAATATTATTTAAAATTATTTTAAATAGGGACACCTGGGTGGCTCAGTTGGTTGAACATCCGACTTTGGATTTCAGCTCGGGTCATGATCTCACCGGTCACGGGATTGAGTCCCATGTCAGGCTCTGCGCTGAAGGTATGGAGCCTACTTGGGATTTTCTCTCTCCCTCTCTCCTCCTCTCTCTGCCCCTCCCCTACTCACGTTCTCTAGTAAGTATTTTAAAAATCATTTTAAATAAACATGCCATGGAAGAACATCAAAGATCAAGTTCAGCTCCAACAGGAACTGTATTTAAGCAAAAATCAATTATATACTATACTACTGACCTATTCCTACCCCAAACCACTCCTATCACCACCACCAAGTAATTTCCTATATTCTCTTCTGACTTAAGAACACATTAGAGTCAAGGTATTATTTTGATCTTTTAAGCATTTGAAATTAGAATTAGATAAGATGCCAGGTCTAAAAAGAAAGCCACATGATCATCTATTTAAATTTGTATTTCTACTGGCCTATTAACCTGAACTGGCCATACTCCCGGACCGCAAATTATCATGACCGTTCCATTCTACCAACATAGCACTTCTGTTCTAAAAGGAACAATATTTATGATTAAGACATTCTTGAGCAGACCTGAATATTTAACATAAACTGCTTGGGTCCCACACAAATCTTTTCCAAGTTAGTAAATCCCTTTATACCAGACTCAGAATTCTACTTCCTGCCAAGCCAACCCAGAATAGAACATTCACGCAGTACAGCTAGATATTTATGCAGATTACAAGCAATCTCTATAAATGACAGGCACTTAGATGGCAGAATTTCTGTCCTGATAACTGGCCCATCCCAGAGAGAGCTGAACGTCCAGGCATACCTTTTAAAAGGCAACTCTACTGCCGGAGAACACAGCCACATTAGATTCTAAATTCCTGTGCTAACTCATCCCTCTAGCAAACTGCCAACAGAGGCTGACCACTCATTCGAGTGACTTTTCAAATACTACACTGTAATATGGATGATTTTGCATGACTTGTGTCTGTTTCACCAAGATACAAACAACAAGCCCATATACACTCTATTTAAAATATTCATCCTTGGGGCGCCTGGGTGGCACAGTCGGTTAAGCGTCCGACTTCAGCCAGGTCACGATCTCGCGGTCCGTGAGTTCGAGCCCCGCGTCAGGTGCTGGGCTGATGGCTCAGAGCCTGGAGCCTGTTTCCGATTCTGTGTCTCCCTCTCTCTCTGCCCCCTCCCCCATTCATGCTCTGTCTCTCTCTGTCCCAAAAATAAATAAACGTTGAAAAAAAAATTTAAAAAAAAAAAAAAAATAAAATAAAATAAAATAAAATAAAATAAAATAAAATATTCATCCTTGAGGCACCTGGGTGGCCCTCACCTGGGAGGCAACTGGCCCTAGTTAAGTATCTTACACTTGATTTCGGGTCAGGTCATGATCTCATGGTGATTAGATGGAGCTCCATGGGGGGCTCTGACCTGGGTATGGAGCCTGCTTGGGATTCTCTCTCTGCCTTTCCCTCTGCCCCTCCCCCACGTGCTTGCGCTCTCTCTCAAAAAAATAAATTAAATCTTCATCCTAACATTTAGTAACCATCCTTCACTATCATAGTCAACAGACACCCTCCATCCCTACTCACCCTCCCCCAACAGAAACTTACCAAAAGGAGAGTAGGGCAAAGCCATAGTTTTGAAGCTTTAAAACTCTCTCCTGCTACCCCTTGCTCATCTTGCTAGAAGTTGAACATTGAGTTAAAAGTTCAACATGTAGAAGTTACATGAAGGTTCCCACCAACTCTTAGTTATCTAAAAGTAAGATCTACTCTTCCCCTAAAGTCATACTAAACTAAAACAACCAAATTATCACTTAGCATCAACTGTTTAACCAATATTTACTGAATAAATGAATGGAAAGACAAATTGAGTCAACGTCATTACTTGCAATAATTTGGTTTATAAACATGGGCCTAAGTTCTTAAAACAAATTAAGTCCATTAAGACTACCCAGTAATAAGATTCACACAAAGTTGGAATTTCACTCTGTTTATTAAAGGTCAACAAGCAGTAACACTCTTACCCAGCTCTGGGGAGTACAGGAATAACAACATCTTCCAACAAATGGCCTTTTCCGGCTCATTAGGCTTTCTTTCCATTTTAAGGTTGCAGATCTGAAGACAGTAGGTCTGAAACCACACTCACCCTAATAAACGTTAAGGGGAAAAAGTGTCTGAATGGCAAGAAAACTATACTTGTCCACTTTCTCTCTAAAACTAAGATATTTCAGAAGAGAAACTTAGTACTTCGATTTCTTTTGGTAGTATAAGTTCCTCAGTGTAATTTTCCTTCATGGTACTCCCCTCCATCATCAACACTTGGAACAAAACTTGGAACATAAGCAAAAATTGAACACTGAAGAATGATAATGGCTAGCAAGGACGTCTGCACACTCAGAGGTTGAAAGGCAAGATTAAACAGCCCATGACAGTAGCAGGTAAATAAAATCAGGCTCCTGGATCCATACAGGGAACAGTTAATCTTATTCCTCTTCAACCACAGATGCCCACAAAAGCACTACAAAGTCTTACATAGTAAGCAAGTTGTTACATACAACTTGAAATATTTTAAATTAAAAAACAAGGTAAACTTATGTAACATTCCTTTATCCTGGCTGGAATTTAAATTATAGCTGTCCAGTTAGGGTCAAATTCTGCTCCTGTTTTAAACATTTTGTTCATTGAGTTCATTAGTTGCTCAAATACCAGACAAAACATTCTCAAAAATTAGCAGAAAACCCCCCCCAAAACTCTGATATCATTTTTATATAAAGCAGAGTGTTCAAGAAATATTTTAAACAAGCCATGTTATGTCAAAATGGGGGGGGGGGAACACAATACAAGAAAATGCATATCCTTTGAATTGAGATTCATACTAAAATTTATTTCCCATTTAGAAGAAAAAAAAAAAAACCTTTATTTCCATTACAAAATTCATACTTATTACATTATGGAAAACAGATACAGAAAGTACACCATCCAAAACAACTCCTAGGTTTTTTTTTTCTAGGCAAAGTATTTTGCTTTTTAACATAATCACTGTGCTTAAATATCCTACCCAACTGTCTCTTCCCAATTAACATAAAACCATAAGAATTTTTAAATATGAGGTCTCATAGGCATACCTTCTAACAGCTGGAGGCAGTTTCTTTAGATATTAACCTCTACTCGATATTATGTCGTTTCCAGTTCTCCACCTTCATAAACAACATTAAAATGAACATCTTTGAATGTTTTTAACCCCTATTCAACTTACCCATTCCTCGTTTGCATGCTTACATCGACCAACACTGTATTCTGATGAATTTGGCAGGTAAGAAACATCTATTGTGCCAAGGGTCAGTGCAGATTCATCCATGTCACAAGGGGTAACTCCCAGATCATGTGCTATAAAAAAAAAAAAAAAGATATATACACCATTTAAATTAATAAGCCAGACAGTAGACACCAAAACTCAAAATTCTGACCTTGACGTTATTTTGTTCCATCATACGATGTCAAATGACCTCTGATGGGCTTCCACCATGTTTAGTTGATGTGTAAAAACAGTGTTTGATGTGTTTAAACTCAACAACATCTCCGGTAGACTGTTCTTATTTTTTTTTTTTTTAAATCAACATCTGCATCTTTAGACTTCTTGAATAAAACAGCCATGAAAGGGCAACGTAAATAATAGCTTATTTCAGGTAGGTGACGAAGAATTATTTTATTTGCATTAATAACTGAATAGTTCCCGGGAGAATGGAGGCCATGTGTTTATTTGATTAAATATAAGTTACATGTATGCACACAAATAGGTAATTTTCCTTAATTATGTGCTGGTAATTTTTGGTCATACATACTATGCAATGGAAGCATGGGTAAAGGCAAGAGCCTTTAGAGAGAGCGCCTCTAAAGTTCCCCACTTAAACTGAATTGAGCTCTCAATTTTCTCGTGATGTCTTAAATGCAATGGCATTTGCACTTTTAATACATCTACAAAGCTTTAAATCAAAACCACACCATCTTGAAATATCGTACTTAAAAGCTTTCACCCTTTTCAATGTCTTTTCATACCCTAAGGGAAAATGTTCACTAACGGTGCACTGCTAAAGAAGACAGAGATTAACCTAAAATATAAAAACTCCCTAATTCTCAAATTGCTTCAGCTTTTGTCTATTTCTCACCTGGCCTTAAATTATTCCTTTAAAATTCTGAAAGGTCACGTCCAGGGTAACTTATTTGGAGCGTATATTCTGATTTCGTTATAATCCCCATACGGGTTTGCTGCGGCAACTACTGTCCTCGGCACAACCATTATATAGCACATCCTTAACAATTTAACATGGCATCAACCTAACCTAACAGGCCAGGAGAAAATAGGAAAGCAATACACCTGGCATGAAAGCTCTTCACGATTGTAAAATAAATCAGCTATCAGTTTCCCATGCAGAATGTAGCTAAAACATGGGGAGCCCCGCTGCGGCCCGAGAAAAAGTCCCTGGTGGCCCCAGAGCTGGAGGAGTGGAAGAAGAGAGAGCAGATTGCCAATAGGAAGTCACGGCTTCGCTCCTCCCTCCCTACAGCGTTGATCCGAGGTCCCTAACTAAATCAAAATCTGGAGGCGCCAGACTATGGGCTGAGGGGAACCAACTCTGCGTTTTGTAATAACAGCGATCGGAGGAGGCTCACCTCGGAAGCCAAACATACACGAATTCAAACCACCCACTGCTGACCATCTGTGTGACTTTGAACAAGTTGGTTAACTTCTATGCCTGGGTTTCCCCATCTGGAAAATGGGCATAATGCTAGATCCTACCTCCTGGGGGTTGCTGGGAGGGCTGGATTGTACCTATAAAGTGCCTAACCCAGCGTCTGACACACGGTGCCACGCTCAGACCAATCAATGGTCATGTGCCATCGGACTGTTCTCAGCACCAGCTGCTTGCAGAGCACCCCAGCAGCCTCAAAGGCAATGAGGTGCGTAGGCTACTCAGTCCACGGGAACTTCCCTCCTCCAGCGGAGCCCACACCGCGGCCCGGTCTCCCAGGGAGAGAACCATCCCGACCCCCCACCCAGCACGAGCCGGGCCCACTTCTCAGGAGGAACCC